TTCCTGTCCTGGGCCCCCTGGAATTTGGGTTTGTTTTATTTTAAGAAGAAACCTAGTTTTTTTGGCTGTGCAGCACCAAGAAACGTCCAGCCAGGATTTGTTTCCTTGGTGCCTCAAGAACCCACATCATCCCGGGGCGCTGTATGTGCGCACCTGCACCCAGGGGAGGGAGACAACCACCACCTTAAAAACAGGGCAACGGCCAAATTTGACGTCTTTTTCCCTCCACAAAGAAACATGGGGGAGACTTTTTTCTTCCCCGTAATTCTTCCACTGGGCACATCAAAGGGCAAAGCAAGATTTTTAAAAACTGGAAAATTATTAGGTCCAGTTTAGCACTGGACTGGAACTTGGGAGTTGCTGCCCTGGCTTTTTTCCTCTTGCAAGGAACCCACGGTGGCTTCCTTAGCTCCAGTTTACCCTCACTGCAACAGCCCTGCGAGGTAGGTGAGGCTGAGAATGAGCGACTGGCCTGAAGTCACCCAGGAGGGCGAGAACCCAGATCCCCCAAGTCCCCAGCGCAACATTCAAAACACCACCCCACACCGGCTCTCTGATCCCCACTGAAGACAAGACTCGAGTCTCATCCCTCTAATAGAGAGCAGGTGAGGAAGTATCATGTAACCCACTTTGGGTTCTTTGTAGGAAAAAGCAGGTAATAAATATTTATTATTTATTTAACGTGTTTATATGCTTTCCAATACTAAAGTCTCTGGATGGCTTAAAACAAAAAACAAAACAACCACATCCTACAAACAACACGCAAAACACTGCATCTGACCATTAATGATACAATTAAAGGTAAAACCAATTCACTGTTAAAATATTGGGAAAGTAAAAAGGACTTCGTTGATGCCGGAAAGAATAAAATGATGGCACCAGGCGAACCTCCCTGGGGAGCATGTTCCAATGCTGGTGCGCCACCACCGAAAAGTCCCTTTTCTGGGTAGCTACCCTCCTAATTTCCTTCAAAGCGGGTTCAAAGAGAAGGAGCTCTGCCTCAGATCTTAAGGGCTGGGCAGACACACAGGGAAGAAGGCGCTCCTTCAGGAATCCAGAACCGAAGCTGGTTTATTTATTTTATATAATAAATAAAAATGCATACATCAAATTGGCCCCAGCAGTGGGCCCTCCTATGCTACCTGGGACAGCTGCCCAGGGAGGCCTCAGAGCTCGGCTCTCCTCAAAGCTCTAGTGAGGTTTGCACTTCATAGTAAGACTTTGCCTGGTGGATGAGAGCCTTTTCTGCATTCAGCGTATTCCTTCCTATCCTCATCATCACATTGCATTTACATCCCACCTTTCTCCCTCCTGCAAGGTGGCTTACAAGGTCTCTTCCTCTCTGTTTTATCCTCACAACAACAACCCTGTGAGGTAGGTTGGGCTGAGAGTGATGGGCCCAAAGCCACCCAGGGAGCTGCACAGCCAAGCTGGGACGAGAACTCAGAGCTCTCGAGTCCCGGTCCAGCACTCTTACCTGTTACGCCACCTGGGCTCTCTTGTCCCCGTTGACAAATACCAAGGCAGTTGATGCTCAAGGCCGGAATCCCTGCTGATCAAAGGGTCCTTTGATCTTTTGGTCAACAAGCTTAAGCAATCCTTTCTGCACTGAATTGCAGAAACGAGGTGGTGAGTTTGTGTATTCTTTGTATCTCTGCAATTCTCCGAGTGACTTTCCTGTGCAGACTCTTATGAGTGCCTTTCAGCAGAGCCCCTTCCTCAAAGTTCCCTGAAAGAAGAAAACACTCTCTCTTAGGAACGGTCTTCTGGCATGCAAAGGTCCAGGGAATTTCCAAATTGAGCTGGAAAAACAGTGTTTGAAAACCTGGAGAAAACCGCTTTGCATGGAACAGATTCTTCTAGACGGGGCGGTGAACTGAAAGGGAGCCCAGAAGAATGTTTTTTGCAAAGTTCAAAACTTCTCATGAGAAAAGTTGGTGGCGTACAAAGCAGCCAGACTTACTGAACGGAAGAGCCACATACAGTAAATGTCAGATGTTTGAGAGCTGCAAGCAGGAGCCCGTGGGCGTTGGTTGCAAGCAACCAGCGGCAAGTGGGTGCCCAAAGGCAGCAAGCCACAAAATAAAGAGCCACATGTGGCTTCCAAGCCTTGGAATGGCCACCGCTGACATACAGCCTCCACACAGCCATAGAATCATATGGCTAGAAGGGATCTTAGAGGTCATCTAGTCCAACCCACTGCCCAACACAGGATGCGACTGCAGTCTTCCTAAAAGATGGCCATTCACATCCTCAAATACCTCCAACAAAGGAGAGCCTCCCACCTCCCAAGGTACATTAGGAAGTGTCCCCTAACATTTTCCTCTTGGAGAGAAAACCAGCTCTGATCTTGGCAAATCAGCCTCTCAGTGGGATGAACACAGCCATCACATCCAGTCCTCCCGGAAACGCCTCCTCTCCAGGCTAAATGGGCCCAGCTCTTTCAACAGTTGATTTTGAAAGGCCTGGTTTCTGGACCCCTCCCCAAAATTGCTGTTTGGCTAAATATTAGCAGAACTGTCTAAAGGTTAAGAGCTGGTCAGCGGTGGAAACAGATGGCCTGCGGAGATGGGGGGCTGGCTTTCGCTGGAGCTCTCTGCCCAGGGACTCCAACCGCCATCTGCAGCGACGCAGCGGGTTCTGCTTGAGCAGCAGGGTTAGGCTAGGTCAAAAACAGCAGGGATGTTTTCAAGGGCCTGAAGAATGCTTGAATAAAGCCAACTTGTTTCAGAAAAGCATTTCCTTCCTCAGGATACACTTGTTTTCCTCCGCATCGTTTTAAAAAATAAAACTGCCCAGTGAGCCTTGGCTATTGGATGGTATTAAAATGAAAAAAATAAACAAACATCTTCCTGCTTCCTTCTCTGTTCTGAATTATCTGAAAATGTATCGGGGTTATTCAAGCATTTTTCGGACACTGGAGAACAACTTATTTTCCCTTTTTTGGCACAGTTTGTGCCTTTTTCCCTGCTGGTCAGAAGAGGTTAGTTTTCCCTAATCCGGTCCCTGTGAGATGTTTTGGACTGCAATTCCTATCAGCCAGCATGGTTCCCTGCCAGGGATAATGGTAGTCCTACATTAAGACATCTAGAACACAACAGATGGGGAAAGATAAACTGGATGATCTCCAAGATTCCTTCCAACTCTTTGTGTGATGAAAATTCAACTAAAAGCAGCAGATTAAAAAATGGAAAGAGACTAACTAAAGGGGGATAAAATTCTTTAGAGCAAGGCTGCCATTTCCCCACTTTAACAGAGACCTCAAACAGCAAAATAAAGCAAGTGAAAATTTTCCTGGCACAAAGATAAGATCCATCCACCTACTCAGGACTCAAGATCAAATTCTCAAAAGATTTCTGGGCCACAGGGTCACAGACGTACATAACATTGCATATGATAATTTAAATCTATGTATGCACATTTAGAAACAAATACTAGTTTTTATTTCAGTTTCCTGGAAGGCAAAGCCAGACAATTAATTTCTCTTCCACTCCAAATAAAAACTTTCTTTGGCACCCTTAGGAGTCGTCCCTCCCCAGTTAAATTTAGAAAAAGCTTCCTAGAGAAGCAACCTGAATGGTTTTCCTAGGCTTATAAAACCTTTTACTGGCACGAATGGGCAGCCCGTCCATGCCCATGGGAAATAGCTATGCAGACAGAGTTTCTTTTATTTTATTTAAGGTTTTTGTATGCCGTCCCAATTACTAAAAAAGTCTCTGGGAGGCTTACAGAGAGCGAACCAAACCAAACCGATCCAAACCAAACCAGAACAACCAGAACCCATAACGACGACAGAAAAGAGCGCTGCATCTAAACTAGCAATAAAAACAAGAATAAAACCAGATTGATCATTAAAATACTGGGAAAATAAAAAGTTGCAAGATCCCTGTGTTAAGAGCACAGCTGCAAGGGTTAGTTCAAAAGTTGCCAAAAGTGCCCAACCCGCACCGTACCGCCCGAGCTCTTTTAAACTGGGCATAGCAGGGAACAAGCCCTCAGTGAATGCCTTACATAAATCGCTTTATTTACCGTACCCCAAAGGCACGGCACTCTTTACAGACATTGTGGCTGGCTTCTGGGAACCCCTTAAAGCCGCCCCCACACCCCCCGAGCTCCCGGCTTTCTCCCCTGTGCCCTTCCCACCGAATTCCCACCCCCGCCTGCCCAGTCTGCGCTGGCATTTTCTCCCAGTCCCCCACCTACCACGCCTCCCCCTAAGTACGCGCCGCAGCGGGCCCCCAGCCCCTGCCCAGCCCCGGGTCTCCAGAGCGGGGCATAGCCCCCAAACCTACCTTCCAGCCCCCCGAAGAGGAGGGGCAGGAAGTGCTTGCAGCCCGCTTGTTTCTCCTCTTCCTTCCTTGGTCGCTTCTCTAGGGATCCAAACTCTCGCAGGTTAACCCTTGCGTCTTATCCCTTTGGGAACCCGGGGCATCCTGCGAAGCGGGGCGCCGACCTTTGCGATAGGGGGACGCGAGTGTGCAGATCAGGAACGGCAGAAGCCGGTTCACACGCGCAGCGAACCCTCCCTCCCTCCTGGATGGCGCGGAGGCGCCTTCTTTGTCCTTGGCGCGCTGCTCCTGCGCTTTTAAAGCCGGGGAGGGTCGCCCGGGGCCGAATGGGGCCTGCGAGGGCTCCCCGGTTCAGCCCTCTGGGTTTTGTGCGCCCCGCCCGCTTCTGAAAGTTGAAATGCCCCTTGGAAGGGGCAGGTAAAGCTCTGGGGCGCAGGAAAAGGTGCAGTCACTCCTGGCATTTCTCAGGCACCTGCTGTGCCTAAACACGCCCAGGACTGCGCCTTTAAACCATCCGTGCCCCGCCAGCCACCCTGTGAGTGGAAAACATTTTTGGAACTGAGAAGGAAGGTGGCTGGACTAGTTTGCTGCTGTCTTCATCACCTCGGCGGTCTGAGATAAGAAGGCATGAAACAGAAAAAGGAAACATTTGGGGAAACTATCCTTATCTTTTTCTTCCGTTTTAATTTCCAAAAAGAAAAAGAAGGAAAGGAAGAGGGAAAATACAACAATTTTGGCTTATGGAATTTATTTTGTACTTATGACATTGTTTTATACAGTGGTGTTGTTGTTTTGCAAAGTCATGTCCAACCCATTGCTATCCTATGGACAACATTCCTCCAGGCGGTCCTGTCCTCCACCATCCCCCAGAGTCCACTTAAGCTCACACCAACTGCTTCAATGACTCTGTCCAGCCACCTCATCCTTTGCCCTCCCCTTCTTCTTTTGCCATCAGTTGTTCCCAGCATCAGGCTCTTCTCCAGGGAGTCCTTCCTTCTCATTAGGTGGCCAAAGTATTTGTGTTTCATCTTCAGTATTGACCTTCTAAGGAGCAGTCAGGGCTGATCTCCTCTAGGACTGACCGGTTTGATCGCCTTGCAGTCCAAGGGACTCGCAGGAGTCTCCTCCAGCACCACAATTCAAAGGCCTCAATCCTTTGGCGCTCAGCCTTCCTTATGGTCCAGCTTTCACAGCCATACATTGCAAGTGGGAAAACCATAGCCTTGACTATACGCACTTTTGTTGGCAGGGTGATGTCTCTGCTTTTTAGTATGCTGTCTAGATTTGCCACAGCTTTCCTCCCAAGGAGCAAGGTATACAGTGTTACCTGATTATTAATTTATTTATCTATCATATGGCACATTCACATCACACTTCAACTAAAAAAACACAGGCATAAAAACACAACATAGAAATACAAGATCGAAAACATAAATGTGTATCTAAATTACAGACTGATTTCTAAAAACTATGTAAATAAGAACATTTTATGAAATAACAGAGAGGGAAAATGCCTGGAAATATTGAATATAAGAACATAAGGAAAGCCCCGCTGGATCAGAGCAAAGATTCATCTGCTCCAGCACTCAGCACAAACGGTGGCAAACCAGCTGCTCACGGGATCCCTCCAGGGCGATGGAAGCAAGACCTCCGCTTGCCCAGCTCCTCTGCAGCGGGTGTGTATAGGCAGGCCATTTCTGATCAAAGAAGTCGCAGTGGCCAGCAAGGCTAGTAGCCACGGAGAACCTCCTCATCCAGGAATCTGTCCAATCTCCTTTTAAAGTTATCAAGTTGGTGGCCCTCACCACTTCCTGTGGCAGCAAATCCATAGTTTGCCTTTTTTCTGTCCTAAACCTCCCACCCATCAGCTTCATGGGATGTGTAATAGGAAAGGGAGAAAAATGTCCCCCTCTCTACTGCTTCACACCATGCATTATTTTAAACACCTCTGTCATGTCTGTGGGACTGCAAGTGGCGCAGTACGTTAAACTGCTATGCTGCTGGGCCGGCTGATGGAAAGCCGGTTCGAATCTGCACAACGGGGTGAGCTCCCGTTGCTCTGTCCCAGCTCCTGCCAACCTTGCAGTTCGAAAGCATGCAAATGCAGGTAGATAAAAAGGTACCACCTCAGTGGGCAGGTAACAGCGCTCCACGCACTGCGGTGTTTAGTCATGCTGGCCACATGAGCACGGAGACCGTCTGCGGACGAACGCTGGCTCCCTCGGCCAGGAAACGGAGGTGAGCACCGGCCCCTAGAGTCAGGCCTGGCTGGACTTAATGTCAAGGGGAAACCTTTCCCTTTTTATCATGTCTATCCTTCAACTTTTTTCTAAGCTCATCAGTCCTAGCTATTGTAACCACTCTGCATGAGGGAGTTGCCCTAGCCCCTTGATAATTTTAGCTTTTGTTTACTTTTTCCAACGCAATAATGTCCTTTTTCAGGTAAGGTGACCAGAACTGAACACCATCATAGAATCCTAGAACAGTAGAGTTGGAAGGGGCCAGAGGGCCATCAGGTCCGGCCCCCTGCTCAGTGCAGGACTCACGGTTAAACCCTCTCTGTCAGATGGCTGTCCAGTTGCATCCTGGAAGCCTCCGGTGTGGGAGAGCCCACCACCTCCCAAGGTCATAGCTTCCTTTGCTGTACTGCTCTAACAGGAAGTTCTTCCTGATGTACACCCAGAATCTGGCTTCCTTCATTCCTGCACTCTGGGATGATCAAGGAGAGATCCTGGCCCTCCCCTGCATGACAGCCTCTCAAGTACTGGAGAGGTGCTACCCATCTCCCCTCAATCTTCTCTTCTCAAGGCTCAACATGCCCAGTTTTTCCAATCTCTACTTAGGGGGCTTCGTCTCCAGTCCCCGGATCATCCTTGCTGCCCTCCTCTGACCCCTTCTCAGCTTATCTGTATCTTTCTCAAACTGTGGTGACCAGAACTGGGCACAGGACTCCAGAAGAGTGACAATATTCCAAGTGCAGTCTCACCAAAGAGTTGTTAAGGGAAGTAAGATTTTGCAGTACTGTTTTCTATTCCCTTTTGGAGGATTTTGATTCACAGGGTTGCCATAATTTGGAGATGACTTGACAGCACGGCATATGTAGACATCAGTATATGTGGTGGGCAATGCATTTAAGGACATAAAGAGTCATCTTGGACCAGACTAGAGGTCCATTCAGTCCCACCTGGGCCAATCAGCTGCCCCTGGGAATCCACTCCTGCCCATGCTCCCCAGCAACTGGTGCACACAGGCACACTGCCTCTGATACTGGAGAAAGCTGACAGCGCTAGCGGCCGAAGGTAGCTGTCTCCTCCAGGAATGTGCCCAGTCCCCTTCTAAAGCCGTCCAAATTGGTGGCTGTCGTGACATCTTGTGGAAGTAGATTCCACCATTTCACTGTGTGGATGAAGAAGACCTTGCTTTTCCCTGTCCCGAACCAGCATACTTCCTGGGGTGACCCCGTTGGGTTCTAGTATTATGGGCCAGGAAGAAAAATGTTTCCTCCCCACAGCAAGAGTAATTCTGGCCCCCTTGGTATGCCTCCCCTGGCAGTGATGGGCAAGCAGCCAGCTAGCCAGGGAAGGCTGGTCTTCCAACCACAGGCTTCTAATGATTTTGGGAGGGGAGGCTGGTTCATCCATCGCAGCCAACGCAGGAGTGCCTTGTGGCGCCTTCAGCTCCCTTCTCCGACCCGGTGCCCTCCAGAGGTTGGGGGATTACAGCTCCCAGCAGGCCCCAGCCTGGTTCTCGGAGACCCCACACCTCTGGAGGGCATGAGACTGGAGAAGAGTGCCTTCAAGGCTCACCATTTTAAGGGGCCAGCAAAACTTCCAGTACAGGCTCCTCCAAGACTACCTCCTCCTGGGTTTGTTTATTCCCATTCTCTCATGCAGACTGGATCCTGCTCCACTCCACCAAAACTGCACACAATATGCTAATCATGGGGTGTCACAAGGTTATGTACAAAGGGTGTGTATCTTGGAGTTGCATTTTGAGAGGGTCCCCCTTAGTTAAGAGATGAAAGGAGGAAGCAAATGCTCTTCTGCTGTTCGTGCTATTTACAAATGAATGAAAAAGTGTATCTGGAAGTCAGTGTGCTAATTTAAATGCCATTCTTGCTCTGGATAAGAGACCGTTAAGGGGTTGGTTATTTTGAATAGATTATAGGATGGACCTGCAATTAATTAAAAACTTCAAATTTTCTCAGTGGTTTCTGCTTTTGAAAACAGAGCATTACAGAGCCGGCTATTTGTCCAGCGTGAGACCTTCCTCTTTGGGAAACACTTTTATAGAGTTGCAGTTTCAGGGTATACCTGAATGTGCTTTCCAGAGAGATCTGCCTGGCGCCAGCATTATACTCCTTCCGGTGCCAGGTAAAGCCCCTTTTATTTAACCATCATTTTAATAATCAAGGGTTTTAGATGTTTTAAGATTGCTTTTCCTTCCCCACAGTCACATTTTCTATTCTTTTCCTCCATTTTCTTTTCTCTTAGTTTATGATGTGCTGTTTTATATTGTTTTAATAATTATGGTTTTATTATTGTATTATTACAACTTTACATTGTGTAAGCCGTCCTGAGAGCTTGTCGGAAGGCTGGGATATAAATGTTTGTAATAAATAAATAAATAATGAATACCAGCCACAGGTATGGATAGATAACAAGGTGCCTTTCAAATGCAGATTATATATTTGTTATTTATATTAAGTAGAAAAGATAATTCATTACAGGTGAATCTGCCTTCTCTATAGTGACCCCAGAGATTGATTCTTGAAATCCTTGCTTAACATATGGATCCAGGAATGCCTTAACAGAAAAAGTTATTTTCCTTTGAGTGATGCTAATAGTTAAGTGACACATAAAGTTCCTTTATTTATTTTGGCAGCAAAAAAAGAATTGGAAGAGAGGAAAAAGAGACAAAGTTGCTGTAAACTACATTGTAGACTCAGAGTTCAGTTAAAGATGAATTTCTGGCTATAGTATATTTTAATCCATTTATATTTTATATTGTTCTTATGTGCATTTATTTGATGCATTTGTTATGACCTTCGGCTAGTATAATACATTTTGGTTGGTTAGTGTTTCAGTAAAGTTAACCCTCGGCTATTTAAGCAAATATAAAGTGACGGACATGAGGGGCAAAAAACCCATAACTTTGGGTATGAACTGAAAGAGATCCTGGGATTGTGGGAGGCAGCTGGATGAAAATGTCAGTGTACATCAGCTATGAAAAAGGGACACTCCGTGTTAAGCACAAATAGGAAAGCAGCTGCCAAACTCATCGTCTTCTTATACAAAACTACATTGCAACTGCACTTAGAATATTGGGGATACATACTTCTGGTCAGCACACCTAGGCAGGAATATTGTAGAATCAGAAGGGAGGCAGAAGAAGGTAACACAGGGCACACTCTTACCCGTGTTTAGACAGAGAAAGTCCTGAAACGCCAAGCATTCCTATAGTCCTGGATGTTGGTTTTGTATTCCTGGTGTAAGAAGAGCTGTGCTGGATCAGACAAAAGGTCTGATGAAACCAGCATTCTGTTCACACAGGGGCCAAACAGCTGATGAGTGCAACTCTGCTGCCCATGTTCCACAGGTGCAAGCAATTTTCACCCCCCCCCCAGGCAATCCCTTTACCAGGACCAGCAAAAATGCTACAAGAGACTGTGTGGGTGTTATCCATGGAGATCTTTCCATGTGGTCATGGGTAGGAGGGGCAAGCTACTTAGTCAGCTCAGCCTGGATCAGAATGGAGAAGGCCTGTGATTGATGGATTTAGAATCTCCCTAATTTCAAAGGCCAGGCCGGAGCTCCAGCAAGAGGATTCCCTTTCAGCATTGGCATGTGAAAGAAGAGAACTAATCTGGAGCTAAAGACTCTGAAACGCCTTGGGTTCTTTCTTTCTTTTCTGAAATCCTCTGCAGAGACTCTGTGCCACCTTTTCATTTGTGCATCTGGTATACCTTAGCTAACCAGAACTGTACTGCTGTTAAATACATGTCACAATTTGTTTTGGTTTTATGGGTTCTGATTAATATTTAATTCTTCAGTAATTTCTTGAAGGAACTTATGCTTTCAGAGCCACAGGGTAAAAGATCTGAATGAGCCTATGACCTGTATTGGCTGGTTGGCAGGGTTACACAAGGGACTGGATTCTCTAGAATTCTTTATCACCCCGGGCCAGTCCACCAACAGGTTCTCCCAGTGTTGTTGGACTGGAATTTCAGACTGAATGGATGAACCATTGCTGGTGCCAGAGAGCGCAGATTCTGTCTAGCATTCTGAGACAGAGAAGACATGTCTGGGTCCCATTTCTGAAAACAAAGTTGTCACTCAGATTTGTTTCCTGCCAGTTCCTGTGTGGGCCGTGTCACTGATCAAAGATGCCTCATGGCTTATTGAATTACGTTTTCTTCATTTGTATAGCTTTCCATTCCATTTCTGGATATTTCTTGATATTGTATTGCAGCTACATAGAATAGCAGGAAAATAGGTATCTCTGTAGAAGACCAAACCGCAGTCTATCTAAAGGAAATATTCAGAATCTTCTTGTTCTTATTTTTCTTTGAGCTCACGTCATCCTATGGTTCTCTGACTTTAGCAAAACTTGCAGGGTTGCTGAAACCTCCATTTTAAAGTGGGATTTCTTTGTGTGTGGGGGGGCATGTAGACCTTAAAATGGCTTCTTTAGCCTCAAATAATAGTGTTTAGTTTGGAAATTGCCCTAATTCAACTTGGTATGCATCTTTTTTCCTCCTACAAGGATAGCCAGCAAACATGGCCGACATGCTGGCCAGCACTAGCCAAGAGCAAAGGCCCTATAGCTTTCCCTCACTTGGTGCCCTCCAGGTGTTTTGGACTTCAATTCCCATCAGCCCCAGCAAATGGTAAGGAATGCTTGGGATACTAGCCCAATATTAGACCTGGAAAGGTCCAGGTGGGGGGCGGGGGAGTCGACGATTTAAGGTTCCCCACACCCCTCACCCTGATCTGGCTGACGATCGCCCCCTGCAGCCATTAAGTTTTTTCATCGGGCTGGCGGGGGGAGTTAAACCTGCCCCACTTCGCCCTCCCTGGTCATTGTAAGCGAAGGGGCGCTCTAGCCCAACGTTCTCTTTGGAGCGAAGCCACCGATTCACGACAACTGAACAGCACCGAGGGCTAGAGCGTCACCCGACCTGCTCTTGCCATAGCAAAGGCGAAACAGAAGAGATGAGAGCCCTAGAGTGGCCCTCCGGAAGGAAGGCAAGAAGAGAAGGAAGTGACGCATAAAAGGCCTTTCTCTTCCTCTTTTTTTCCCCCCTCCTCCATGCTGCTGTGGATGCTTCGCTCGCTGCGCCGCAGGACTTGAACCCGGTGCTGCGGCAGAGGGCAGGGAAGGACCTTCGCGGCTCTGGGGAGGGGGTCAGGTGAGTTAAGAAGCACCTGGGGCAGCAGCAGGGGGCAGGCCTCGCCCCCTCCCCCAAGAGGGACGCGGTGGGCAGTCTTTCATGGTCGAGGGCCGCATTCCCACGTGCGGAAAGGGGGCGGGGGGCGTGGCCGAAAGCAAGGGTGGGTGTGGGAAGCCCTTCGCTCTCCCTTCGTTAATTCGTTCATTCGTGCCGCATTTATTTATGTACTCTCTTTTGCCCTTGCAAGGCCGGGGGACGGACGTGTGGGCCCCGCAAATGAGGTTGCATTCCAGCTCCCATCATCTCTGACAATTGGTCGTGCTGGCGGGGGCTGACGTGGTGGAAGGCACACAGGATCTCAGAGGTGGAGCGGTTCCCCACTGCTTTTTCGAAACGGCTTTCCCCAAGCTGGTGGCCCCCAAATTACAGTGCCTATCATCACTTACTGTTGGCTGGAGCTGATGGAACTTGTAGTCCAGAAAGCTGAGGGGCACCTTGTGGGAGACTCCTTTAAGGGATGTCTCGCCTATGTACACACATGCCTAGGTTCTGGAGACAAAATCACACACACACACAGCCTTTATGGGCTACTTAAAAATGCTTTCAAATAACTGTCCCTGTCTGTCCTCTTCTCCCCCATTAGCCTGCCCATGTATTTGTTGCCAAGTGATCCTGAGGCACCACCTAAGGAGCAGTTCCAAAACAGTGATCTAAGTTATAGCAGAATTACTAACAACTTAATTTTTCTATTTCCAGTAATTAAAACTATTCGACTAATTCAAAAAAGTTAAACTGCAAATACAAGTTAATAAAACTTGTACATTTTAATGCCTAAAATTTAAAACACTTTAAACAGCTAAAATTATTTCAGTAAGATATTGGACCTGATAGAGACAGCAGTCCTTAAGAATGTATCATATGATGTTAATAGTGTGGAGGTAGAGAAAATTCTTGGTTGGTGCTTAACTGATGACGTTGTTGATGCCATTTGGGCTTCAGTGGATGGATTGTTCCATAATGGGGGTGGGGGTGCTACCATTGAGAAGGTCCTCAGAAGTGGCCCCTGTAGGAAGGTCTTGGGTGTCGATTGTAGCATCAGGATAGGCTCACACTGGGAGAGGAGTTCCATTCCAGGGGTGGGGAGCAAGAATGAAACCTCCCTTCCCACCTGCTTCCTGGAGGTGATGGTTGCTGTTCCCCTGTTGCTCTCTGCACTGCCAGGACTGCAATCTTTTCTGGGGTACTAGGTGGGACTCCTCAACCTTTGCAGAGAGCAGGCCAAGGCTGCCTGTGACTTATGGAGGTGTTCACCAGTGGCTTGGAAACATAGGAAAGACCTGCATAAGTGATTCATTTAGCCCAGTGGTAGCATTGGGGTAGGTGTTAAGGGTCTCCTTTATTCACTGATATAAGCAGTAGGGTCCCCAAACACAACCGAGCTCACTTAACACACTTGGTATATTTATTTCCTATAATGATTTGTAAGTGAAGGGGTCAGATTGAAGGTACTATAAATTGAGGAGTCAAAGTCAGAGTTGAAGGTTTTATGTATTGACTCTCCAACCCTGTTTGGAGGGAACTGAAATAATCCACATTATGAGGAGTTATGTAAAAGGTCCAGCATCTGAAATTATTTAACTAGGTACTATTGATCCTATCCCATCACTAAGTTTCAGACATTATCCAGCCAGATGCTTTTGGGATAAAACAAGGGCAAAAATGTGCATCACTCTGTTACAGCTCTGGTGTGTCTCCAGCATCCGGTGCTCACAGGCACACAGAAGCATGTGCTTATTAGGGAGCAATTATCTGGCCCCTCGACCGTGTCGGAGAAATGCTTCAGATTCCCAAGCGGCAACATCCAAGCGGAGAGTCTGTGTTCTGACCCTCCCCACCAATCCACCTTCCAGCTGGGGCACAAAGAACTTGGCTAGCCACCTCCCCGAGCCAGGAACATGGGAAGGGGAAAACAAGTGAGGGGGTGGTTTGCTGGAGGGGAGAGCAGACTGAAGGTTGAGAATAAAAGTATCCTGAGGCCTTGGCAGCACATTCCCCCCCCCGCCCTTTGAGATGCTCCAGCTTCAGCAGGCAGCCCTCTCCCAGTGATAATGCAAGGTGGGAGAGGAGGAGGTAAAGTTTGTCTCCACTGCTCTTGCCACTCTGCATTAGATTATTGTTGCATTGCATTTCTGTCCTGCCTTTCTTCCTCCTCCGAGGATTCCAAGGCAGCTTACATCTCCTCCTCTGCTCCATTTTAACCTCACAACAGCCCTGTGAGGTAGATTAGGCTGAGAGACAGGGACTGGCCCAAAGTCACCCTAGTGAGCGTCATGGTTGAGTTGGGACTAGAATCCGGATTGCCAGATCCCCAGTCTTGCATTCTAACCACTGTTCACACTGGATGCCTCGGGGGTTAATGATCATTGCAGGAAGATTGCTCTCTCACTTACATATTTAGTGTCATAACATTATAGACCATTTTCCATTTTAATTTCAGAGGGGTTTATAAAAAATAAAAAATGATAAGTACCAGAAAACCAATCAATAAAAAGATGATAAATATCAAATTAAAGCTGCCATATTTTTAACAGTTTTTTTAAAGTCAGTTTTAAAAAGCCTTTCCTGTGCTGGTATGTGGCTTAACATGTTATATGAACTAGTACTACTTCAAATAAGGATTTTTAAATTTAACCTTCAAAATAAATGTTTTCTCCAAGCAGCTTACAGTCACTATAAGAAGATAAAGCCAGTGCCTAATTTTTTAAGTGACCTAAAACAGTAGCCTAACACGACTCCTAATTTAGATCAGTGATCCAAGTAAAACAAGTATTTCTGCTAATACAAACCCCTTTCTTGGAAAAGGAACAAAGTTCAGCCATTCTTTCTAGGCAGGAAGAAAATACAATATATAAAATATCGTACCATATATAATCTGTAAAATATTAGAAATAAAACTGTTTGTAGGCATGTTTTGCTAGACCGACTTTTGAGCCTTTCTAGTGAAGGCACTTTGGAGCTGGAGGGAGGGAGGAAAAGTGGCACTCGGGATAAATCATATCCTAGCATTCCCAGTGTCCTCCCATCCCTGCTCACTTGAATACCTCTTTTTTTCTCCCATCCAAGATCAGAAAGTTGGAGCTGATGTAGTTCTGGCTATGGGAGGGGCAGACCTCTGATTCCCCCTTCCAAGGTTGCATCCCTGTCTCTGACGTTGGAGAAGACAATCTGAATTAACTTAGAATCTCTGAAATGGTCATCCAAGAACCATAGGATTGCTTTCTTAACAAAGGAATGCTACCACATTCCAAGGCCACATTCCAAACCATCAAAACACCTTGTACTACGAGAAAGTATTTCCTAATTTAATCTAAACCTCTTGTAAGTTGAAGCTGGTGGTTTGCATCCTGCTTTCTGAAAGACTCTCATCTTGTGGTATCTCATGTTTCATTTTGGATTGTTTCCTCATAGGTTTTCAAGGTAAGAAATATTCAGAAGTGGCTTACCATAGCGTTCTTCTGCGCAGCTCTAACCAGTGAGTATCACTGCTGTTGTCTGTGAAAGTGCTAGTGTTGCCTTCAACTACTCCTGCTTCCCAGTAGCTGCCTTTGAGGAGTTTCTCCACCCCCCCCCCCCAATTACCTTTAGAGATCTCTGTAAACATCGCAGTACTTGGTGTGAGTAAGCTAAAGTGAATTGGAGAGGGACATCATTATTCAGTCAAACACAAAAGTGTTTGCTCTAGAAATGGCAAACACAGCAGGAACAGTGGCTCCAGTACTGAGGCAAGATGGTAGCAAAGGCAGTAAAGGGCTATAAAGCAAAGTGGCGGAATAATATGAGCCAAAACTCTTGGAAGAACTAATAAGCATAACCCCCATTCAAGTCTACCCTCCAGCTACAGATGCTGAAGAGGAAGAAACAGAAATGTTTGTGCACGCATCCAAGAGGAAATTAATAACACACCAAAATAAGGGATGCTGATAATCCTAGGTGATTAGAACACAAAGTCGGAACAAACCAGAGTCCGGTGTTGTGGGAGGACTTGGCCTTGGGGTCAGAAATTAAGCAGGGGAATGCCTCATAGAATTCTGTGAAACCCGTAGTCTGTTTATTACAAAAGCTACTTCAGGCAGCTGATCGAATGACCGTACATGTGGACATCCCTAGATGCCCAGTATAGAAGTCGAATAGACTGCTTAATTGGAAGAAAGAGATGGCCAGTCTGTATCCACACTGCCAATATAAGACCAGGAGCAGACTGTGGCCAAGACCATGAACTATGAGTATCGAAAACCAGAGTAAAGTAGAAAAGATCAGTTAACCAAAGTGTAGTGCCAAAATACAACTTAAATAGCATTCCTGAGGCATTTAAAATCATCTCATGAAGCTGATTGATGGGAGTTTCAGGATAGCTGAAGGGATGGACCTCTTCACCCAACATGTAGCTGAACTGTGGATTTCAGTGCCATGGGAAGTGGTGATGGCCAGCACTTGGATGGCTTTCAAAAAGGATTGGACAGATTCAGGAGGGGGGAGGCTATCGGGGGCTACTAGCCTTGCTGGCTGTGTGCTGCCTCCATGACCAGAGCTGGCCTGCTTGCACCCACCTGTTGCTGAGCAACTCAGAAGGGGGAACCCTGAGCTCAGTTGACCATGAACGAAAAGAACGGAACCAGACACATGATTGGGGAAGGATGCAAAAAGACAGTTCTTGTCCCAAAAAAGCCTGGATGGGTAACAGAACAGAAACAATTGCCAAGGACAGAAAGGAAGCCAAAGGCGACAGAAGTAGGGTCAGAATCCTGAATGCAATTTTTCAGGGACTATCATACAAGAGAAAACAAAAACAATTGTGACGGCCAGTGTGAAGTAATAGAAGGGAACAGCCCAAGAGGATGTATAAGAAGCCTCTTCGAGAAGGCCCAAGAAATCAAAGGGAAATTTAAATCTAGATTAGGAATGCTAAGAGACCAACAGAAGAACGTACTATCTGACCAGGATTAAATAAAGAGAAGGTGAAAATAATACAAACTAGGCAGATCAGATGAAAAGACAACAGGGTCCTTTGAAGAGGAATCCTGTGAGGAAGAGCCTGCAACATTAGAGAGCAAAGGGGAAACTGCTCTGAAAGCATGGCTTATGTGCCACCAAGTCATCCCCAGCATAGGGTGACCTTGTGAATGAGAGCCATCCAAAATGGCCGGCCCATGACAGATCGGATCTGGCTTCCTTTATGGATTCAGTCCGTCTCCTATTTGGTCTTCCTTTTCATCATTTGCCTTCATCTTTCCCTAACATGACTGTCTTCTGCAAGGAGCCTTGCCTCCTTATGTGCTGGAAGTATCGATTTGCTCGAGAACCCAGTTGTTTATCTTTCTCTCAGCCCAGGGTAGTTGCAAAGCTCTCCTCCAGTGCCATGTTTCAAATGCATCAGTTTTCTGCTTGTCGGCTTTCTTCACTGTCCGGCTTTCACACCCACGCATGGTGATCAGGAATTTATTAGTGTGGCTGATCTTGGTCTTCATCTCCACTGCAGCATCCTGACCCTTGATGATCATTAAGTTCTTTCATTGCTGCCCAAGTCTAGGTCGCCGTCACATTTCTTGGCCGCAGTCTCCCTTTGAATTGATGACTGAGCCAAGTTATGTGAAGTCTTTCACAATTTCAATGTCTTCTTGGAAAGCACTTGGAAGGAATAGAGCACCCAGAGTAAATAGGATACCAACAAAACTGTCCCAAGCTGCAGAGGCTGAATTGGTTCAAATCCTAACAAGGATATGCTAAAAACTATGAAAAGCAAAACAATGTATTTCCAGTCCCCAAGGAGGGATGCTTCTAAATGGAGCAAGAAATGCCTGACGTTCAAGCTGAGTCTGATTGTGTAGACCATGGGTCCTCAAACTACGGCCTGCAGGACAGATCTGGCCCGCGCCGCCGTTTGCCACCCGCGCGCATGCTTGCCCGCTTGGAGATGGGCTCCAAGCAAGCAAACCAGCCGTTGTCGCCGCCTGCCTCCCCTAAGCGTGCGCTTGCAGGCGGGGAGGTGGTAGCTTCCTCACCCGGAGATGGTTTTGGGCTTGCTGGGAGATCTCCGAGCGAGCGAGCCACCACCATGCGTGCCCGATGCCGCCTCGCGTGCGCCCAGCGGCACCTCACCAGTCCGCGCCCCAGGCACCCCCACCTCACTGGCCCACGAGGGTCGCCACAGCCTTTCAACTGGCCCCCTATTGAAACGGTTTGAGGGCCGCTGGTGTAGACCCTCAAAGCCAAGCTCATCCACACAGTGGTATTTCCAGTCACCTTTTATGGGTGTGGAAGCTGGACACTGAAGGAAGCCGACAGGATGAAAATGGATGTGTTTGAAACATGATGCCAAGGGAGAGCCTTGCAAAAACACGGGACCAACCGAAAGACAGGCCAGTGAGTCCTGGAGCAGATCAAGTCAGAACTTATCACTGAAGCAAAATGACAAAACTGGGGAAAGACAGTCATGCTAGCGAAGCTGGGAGGCAAAGAAGAAGAGGAAGGCCAATACGAGTGGTGGACAACATAGCATCCCTCAAACATTTTGGGTTATAACTCCCATCATCCTTGAGCACGGGCTGGGAATGAAAAGAGTTGCAGTCAAAAACTTGAGGGGTGGGGCAGGCTGCTTTCTCCAGCATTTTGAAACGGCAATAAAGGAATGTTCTCAGTCTTACATCGGTGTATGTATTTGTCATATTAGCAAGTATTCAAAGTAGTTTTTTCCCCAAAGCGGTGTGCGAAATACAGTGCTAGGAGTGTTAAAGCATCAGCCTCGAAAGTAACAGTACATGAAGAGCAGGGAAAATAATGCCATTTCTTACCAGCCCTTTTATGATCAGAACTACAAGACCGTACAACAGGACTGCTAGCATAACCTCTAAATTAAAAACAGTCTGAAACAAAATTTAGGAAAAAAAACACCCCCATGTTGGGCTTGGCTGAAATGAAATAGAGAGGAATGTAATCCTATATTTGGACAGGGTCTTCGTGCATTTCAGGCCGTCTGCACCTCTGTGCTGCTTTTCTGTACCGAGGTTGTTAAACCAGGAATCTGGGCTTCATGTGATACTTGAGCAGTGACTCTGCATTCTGACCAGATGTTTTGAAGCACATCCATATGTTGAATGATTCGGTGCATGGTTGCTGAACAAAGGCGTTTTGCTGTCTCTGGTTTGTATCTTTTCTTTGATGCTCAGTTCTTTCCTTCAGGCCAAAGCCATTCCAGACGAGACAATCTTGGTCGCTACATTCCGCGTCTCCAAGAAACGCAGATTAGCTCTGCACAGGCACATTTTCTAGGACCAGCTTAGGCCGCAGCTTGGTGGTAAGTGTGAGAATGGCGACAGAGCCCAGAAATGAAGCAGCTGAGAGTCTGGATGCTTTACCAGAGGATGGAGCGAAGACAGAAGTGAAGGACATGGAAGAATCCGAACCGAGACAGGATCCTGGAAGAAGCCCCGTGATTGTCCACTCTCGGACTGTGACTGAGTCGTCCTCGGGAGAAGCCACGCCTGAGGACATTAAGCAGGAATCGGAGGATGGGCTGCAAGAATGCCCAGGACCCCAGGAGCAGATCTTCTTGAAGACCAAACCATCTTCTCCCTCTGAACCAAGCAATGCAGAGCTGGCGAAGCCCCAACCAATTGAGGAATCCGAGGAAGATGTGTCTCCCTGTGAGGAACCAACAGACATGGAGCTACCATCTGGAGAAGACAGAGTGAGCCAGCTGTTATCTGCCATAGGCAGAGAAACCATCAAGAGTGCGTTGGCCAAAGACAAGGAGGACTTCATGGAAGTAGTGGAGGAACCTGCGGACGAGGGCGTCCCCACCGTGGAGATCGAGCGCCAGTGCTTCCGGCAGTTCTGCTACCAGGATGCCGAGGGGCCCCGTGAGGTCTGCGGAATGCTCTGGAAGCTCTGCCACCGGTGGCTGCAGCCGGAGAAGAAGACCAAAGACCAGATCCTGGAGCTGGTGATCCTGGAGCAGTTCCTGGCCATCCTGCCCGAGGACATGCAGAGCTGGGTCAGGGACGGGCGTCCGGAGACTTGCTTCCAGGCAGTTGGCCTGGCTGAGGAGTTCCTGGCGAGGCCGGACAGGAATGAGCCCCGGAAACGACCGGTGAGAGAGAACTTGGTCCTGTGCGTGGGAGGGCAATTATGCAAGGGGTCCCAGGGTGGGTGACCTAACAGGTTTTTGCCATGATGTATCTATTCGCTTGGCTGCTGTGGTTAAACAACCCTTCAGACAATGTTTAGACTTTAAACACTTCAGTAAACATCACAGTGGGTGCCTTTTAGTTGGCAGGACGACATGGAACTTGCCTCTTCAGAATACCATTTCTCTGGAAACAATTTGTTTGAGCCATAGCCTTCATATCCCCTTGGTGGGCTTCCTGGAGGCATCGTTGCAGAAAAGTCACTGGATGAGAGCCACCCGATTGCTGGTGTCTATTTGAAATGTTTCCGAGCTCTCTTTCAGGACAGGAGCACCCCCTAAAGCGTCTTGCAGTTGTGAAATTCAAGTACAATAAAAAGTGATGTAGTGAATCAACTGGCATCTGTGAAAATAACACACCTGTGTTAAAGGTTTGGCCCAAAGCTTGCAGTATAGTTGCAGCTACAATCCACGGGTGGATCATGATCCAGGGAAGGCCAGAGAACAGAAGTAAGTCTTCAGGGCCTTTCTGAAAAGCATGTGGTGACCCAGTGGCAGCACATTCTGGAGCTGCGGGGCCACTGCAGAAAAGGCCCTCTGATCCAGCCGAGCGCTTCCTGTGCTCTTGTGAAGCTGGGGTGGAGAACTGGTGGCCTTCCAGCACCGTCATCCCTGCTTGTTGACCCTGCTGACTGGGGGTGATGAGAGTTGAAATGCAAGCCAACATTTGTGGAATTGGCTCACCCACTTTGGATGTAAAAGGGGTTAGATCAGCCTTCCTTAATCTGGTATCCTCCAGACACTTCGTGTTTCTTCTCCCAGCAGTGGCCTGAGAGTGCTGGGAGTTGTAGTCCAAGTATCCAGCCTTCCATCCGGGGAGACTGGGTTAGAGGTATTCTCCAGGCTGGTTAATAATGGGACCTCCATCTGTAGAAGCAGCTTCTCATTCGAGTCAAGGCTCTGGGGAAAGCAAGCGGGAAGCCTGTTCACTTCGTGGCCTGCTTTTTATGCTTCCCGGGGCAGTGGGTGGGTCATCGCTGGAGACCATCAGTGACTCGGTCTGGTCCAGCCTGAGTCTTCGGAGTTGTCAGAAGGGAAGGTGACGCAGGAATTCACTGTCCTAGGACATGGCCGCGAGCTGTCACGTGTCTCATGGGGAGGGCAAGTTGACTCATCCGTGGAGGAGGAGGGAACGTTGTGGTGCCCTGCCTTTTCCCTGCAAAGCCTCCGTGCTTCCCCTCTTGTTCTGTTGTCGGAAGAGGCGTGCCGCATCGCTTCCAGCCTCAGGACCAGACTCCATGTCAGGGAAGCTCTTGGGAGCCACGTCACAAGGGTGGGCAGGGCCGCAGGCGATGGGGTGGGAGCAAAAGATGCAAACTACCAGCAGAACATGACTTAAAGCTCTTGCTGCCACTGATCAGCTCTCAGGAGAGGCATGTTAGCATTTTTGGAGAGGGTACATGGTTGGAGCTGTGCAGAGCAGTAAAGCCAGTAAATGATCGCTGGTTTAGGACAGGGATCAGGGGACCCCCGTCAGCCAGAGGTTCAGCACCCCAGTGTCAGGGTTGCTGAGTGTGATGGAGCAGTGCTCTGACTTCTTGTCAGGTGACGTAATCCTGGGCTGAAGAAAGCCGCACGAGAGCCTCGGCTGACCTTATGAAGCTCCAGTTCCGAGCTGCTTCTTCCCGGGTTCTCATGTCGTTGCACCTTCCTGCTGTTTCAGGATCTGTGGCCGTTCAAGGAGACATCTGGCGTCTTCCCTGCACCTGCGAGGGCTCCCCCGGCTTCCACCCCGTGGCCAGTATTCCGAGAGAACAAGGAGGACGCCGCCACCAATGTCCCCTTGCTCGGTAAGGATTCCTCACCTGAATGAATGCTCTGGGCGTCTCTGTGCTCCTTACAGAGAGCTGCAGGGGCTGGTCTCCTGTCCCGTGGGCCTTACAGGTTGAAATGGGTGGTGGGAGAAGCTGCTGAGGGAGGGGAGTGAGAGGTGACGGAAAGAAGGTGCTGAGAACATCACCGAACTCTGCACAGAGCCCTGTCAGCACTGCTGCTGGAGACCAGAGCTCCCTGCCCGGCTTCTCCTTTGGATCAGGGATGGGTGACTTTGTGCCTTTCAAAAGTTTTGGACTCTGTCTTCCATAATCACTTGCCGTTGGACTGATGAGACTTGCAGTCCGGAGCCTCTTAAGGGCACTGTGTTGCCTTCCCTTTGCCTTAGATCAGTGCTCCGAGCCCAGTCGCCACTTTAATTTCCCATAATGCCCCATATAGTGCTCCTCCAGGGCATTGTGGGGAATTGACATGGTGGTCCTCAGACACGGGACACTGCAGTGAGCTGCTCGTGACCCCGGCTACCAGCTAAGTCATCCAGGCACAGCAGGACCCATTCTCAAATGTGGAGCTGGCCCTCTCTGTATTATTTATTTATTATTTTATTTATTTAGAAAATTCCTATGCCGCCCCATTCGCCGAAGCCTCGGGGCAGCTCACAAAACATCAATTAAAATATAATACATTAAAAATATAAAATGAATTAACAATATAAAATAAGTCACCCTGGCCAAAGAATAAAATAAGGAAATAATATTAGCAATTAAAATGACATTTGAATAAAAAGGTCTTCACCTGGCGCCGAAAAACAAATAACGACGGCGCCAGGCGGACCTCAC